AAAAAAAAAAAAAAAAAAAAAATCTCACTCTCCTTTGTACTAATCTCCTTTCCCACCTGTCTCCCTCAGCTGTGAAAGATGGGTAAAATAGTGATTAGGAACCTTAAGGGGAGGCATGGCAGAACACTTGCTCATTAAGATGATTTAGGTTTGTCCAATCCTGTGATCATTTTTGGAATATTTGACTTTTTTTTTCTTTTTGGAGACAGAGTCTCGCTGTGTCACCCTGGGTAGAGTGCCCTGGCATCACAGATCACACCTCAAACTCTTAGGCTTAAGTGATTCTCTTGCCTCAGTCTTCTAAGTAGCTGGGACTACAGGTGCCCACTACAATGTCCAGCTATTTTTTTGTTGCAGTTGTCATTGTTATTTAGCAGCCCTGGCCTGCTTTTGAACCCTCCAGCCTCAGTGGATATGGCTGGCGCCCTAACCACTGAGCTATGGGTGCTGAGCCAAGGAATATTTGACTTTTGATCAAGGAAGCTGTTCTAATGAAATAAGGTATTTGTCAGTGACCTCTTGTGGAGTTGTGAGGATTGTAGCATTTTATAATTTTTGGCAAGGATGGAAGGAGGAGAAACATTCATATAATTTAGATTATTAATAATCAGAATTTGTTTTAACCATAAATATTTAATATGTAACCAGTCAACTCTTTACACTTATTATTTCAACAGAAACCAAAGAAACCACCACCTCCCACTAAGGGTCCAGGTATGTAAAAGATACTTTATTCAGTTAGCTATTTTTAGTATTTTTAAATTCTAAAATGGTATAATTTGGTCTATATAAACCGTTAACTTTTATTAGTAGAAACAAGTGTGATGTGCTCTATAAAATTTTTTAGAAATATATAAAAATTGAGCATTCATGTGTGTATGCTTTAATAGTCATTTATCAAAGTGATAAATGTATAAAATGGGGACTTGGAAATAATTCAGATGCTTTAGTTATATGCGGTTTTGAGTTAATAAAATTGACCAATTTTAAACCTTTTTATAAAAATGAAAATTTCAATAGGTCAGGCACAGTGGCTCATGTCTGTAATCCAAGCACCTGGAGAGGCCGAGGCAGGAGGCTAGGAGTTCGAGACCAACCTGAGCAGCTTAGTGAGACCCTCTCTCTATAAAAAAAGAAGAAAGAAAAATTAGCATCTATGTAGTCCAGCTCCTTGGGAGGCTGAGGCAGAAGGTTATCACTTAAACTCAGGAGCATGAGATTGTATTGAGCTGCTGCATCGTAGCCCAGGCAACAGAGTAAGACCCTATCTCAAAACAAGAAAGAAACAGGAGAGAGAGAAAATTCAATATGCTGATCTGATCAATTAGTGATTCTACCTTTTCAAATAAATTTCTTTATCTCTCAAATACTTATTATTTATGTGCTCTTCTTTTGGAGAGCATCCTAAGGGTTAAACAAAGTACATGGTTTTAAATAGTTGCATAAATTATAGTATACCTTAGAAATGAGTTAACATTTGTTTCATAATTTGACTCTTTATTTTCATAAATTCTATCATCCATTATCTGATTTTTACAAGTGCAATAAATTTCTTTATTTCGTAACAGATTTTCTGTTTTTTAGAGTAACTTGGTCCTTTTCTAACCCTTGGTTTCAGCTTTATATTTTTGTGACCTAATTAATCCAAGGGCAAGGTAATTTTTATAGGAGTAGGTGTTGGAAGTTTACCAAAGCTGCACTCTTCAATATGGTAGTCACTAGCTACCTGAGACTGTTTAAAAATTAATTAAAATTAACATAAAAAGTTTAGTTCTCAGTCATGAAAGTCACATTTCAAGTACTCGGGAGTCATATATTGGACAGTGAAAAAACTAAATTTTTGATCATCTCAGGAAATTCTCAGAGACAGTGGTGAGGTCAAGGATATGAATTCTAACACCTAAATTTGACAAAGAAGGCTCTGAGAACACAGAGTTATTATAATATTTAGAATAATATGGGCAAATCCAGGATTAGAGATTGAGTCTAGTGATTTTGGTACATTGTTCTTTCTGTTAAATCATGGTTTCATCTGATACTATTTTTAAACTAATCTTTATGTTTTAGTAGTTTAATTGTCTCCTGCTCTAAGGCAGGCGTTCTCAAACTATAGCCTGCAGGCCACATGTGGCCCACCTAAGACATTTATTTAGCCCGCCGGGGGTTTTTGCCACCACTGCCTGTCCTGCTTAGCAGCCAACTTGTCCCAGGGCCTGCAGTCCGGCCCTCCAATGGTCTGAGGGGCAGTGAACTGGCCCCCTGTTTAAAAAGTTTGAGGACCCCTGCTTTAAAGCCTACTTTCTTTTTAAAGTATTAACCTCATTATTTTTTTTTTACCCTAGCTCCAAAGCCTGAGCTGATAGCTTCAGAGAAGAAGTATTTTCTTTTAAAGCCTGAAGAGAAAGGTGAGGCTGAATTTCCCACTTTCAAAGAATAATAATAATAAATTATTTCTTTCATTGTCATTAAAAAAAACCCGTCAATAGAATCATTTATGCTGATTTTTAATAGATGATCAGTATTTATTTTGTGAGGAGTAGAGTTTTCTGGGAGGGATTAGTTTATTAAGATTGATAGGAAATAGGGCGGCGCCTCTGGCTCAGTGAGTGGGTTTGAACCCAGCCCTTGTCAAACTGCAACAACAACAACAACAAAAAAGCCGGGCATTGTGGCAGGGGGCCTATAGTCTCAGCTATTCAGGAGGCTGAGGCAAGAGAAT